TTATTTAGCTTTGGATAAATCAGACTTTCTGCGTCTCAACAATAAGTTGGGTGCAAGTTTCATACTTTACCCTACCAAGGGACTGACAGACATGACAAAAATAAGTGAATATTTTCTAACTAGGACAAATTAAAAAAGAATTTATACACATATCACAAAATTTTTATGTATTTACATATGTAACCTCTAAATTTTCGTATATATTATTGTGTATTATGAAATTTGTGATTATAAAGTGATAATTTAATGTCTAAACATTGCATAAAAGTCTATAACACACTCGGAGCTACTCAGAGCAAGGAATATTAGCATACAAAAATTGATAATCTCAGCTTATAATAGTAGTTTAACTATAACAGTCATAATCGAGGCACACAAAATGTAGTTATTGGCTACAATAATAGTAGTTGGCTATAAAAGTCGTAGTATGTGGCTACAACGGTTGTAGTTGGCTGAAGAAGTTGCTGTTGATGACTACAATAGTCATAGTTTGCTATAACAATAGTTGTAATTCACTATAACAATTGTTGGTGGTGGTCGACAATCTTTGGTGGTAGGCGACAAACTCTGGGGGCTAGCCACGATTTGGATGATCACCAATAGTCGTTGAAACTTCAAGAGTTAAAGTTTTATTTAGACAACCCTCTCTCTTCTCCTCCCCCTTAAAAGGAAAAAGGGGCATTATTACAATTTTTGAGAGGGAAATGTTAAATTTAGTCAATCTCTCAAAATAGTTAATGAGCCAATTCATATTGATTCTCTTAATAACATATAATTTTTTTCAATGCTTATATGCCTTAAGAACTTCGAAATTAGATTATCTTGGGCTCATTGGACTCTTATAGGAGAGTAAACGAGTCGAGTGCAGCTCGAGCCACCCTCGGCTTAGCTTCAGCGTGATTAATTTTATCAAGCTCGAGCTCAATATTAGAAGTCTATGAGTTCGAGCTGGCTCACGAGCCAGCTTGTCTATTATAAAGAGAGAAAAAAAGTATTAATTTAAGATAGTATTTTAATAAAATGATAATTAGAATGAGTAATTATGAGAGAAAAAATATATATAACAGATGCGTGCTAGAAAATTTGCGGCGGTAGAGTAATGGATTATCGTCTTAGCGTTGCACGAGGATTCATCAAGGATTCATCACACACTCATCACACACTCAGATGAAAGTGAAACAATCAGTGATGACACCAGAAGTTTTTACGTGAAAAAACCCGTAAAGAGAATAAACCACGGGGCCTGACACAGTTATAAAAACCCACTATATGTTGATAATTACAGCGTTCCCTTGTCCCACAGACGGGAAAGGGTTACTAAATTTTCAGATTACAGCGTCATTTGACGGTGTCCGGTCAACGGTTGTCGGCGATGATCGACGGTGGATGACGGTCAGCAGTGATCGACGGTGGCCGAATGGAGGGTGGCCGATGATGGTCGGCGGTGGTCGACGGAGGTCGGCGGTGGTCGACGGAGGTCGGTGGTGATCGATGGATGTTAGCGGTGGACGACGGCAGTCGATGACATTCAGCGGTGATCGACGGAGGTCGGCGGGGACCGGCGGGAGGCGGTGTGCGACGGTGGTCGTCGGTGGTCGACAGAGGTCGGCGGTGGTCGCTGACGATCGGTGGTGATCGACGAAGATCGACGATGGCAAGAATGATGTTGGATTTGATCTCTTTCTCAAAGCCTCAAGTTCTCTCTCAAACCTCCCTCCTTCGATGTGAGAAGTGAGGCTTTATTTATAGTGTTATGAGTGCAATTAATGCAAGAATATGAACCATTTTTATCGGACGGTCCGGATAGCTGTTTTTGATCAGATGGCGTTTGATGGACATTTGAGTGTCTTAACGATGCCAGAATTGAGCAATCTTGAGCTCGTTGGATTCTTCTTGTCGAGACGCTCGATTTGACTATGAACTCACTAGATTCGACATTCGTTTGATCCTTCAAATGCCTATGTAAATCCTCCAATAGTGATTTAATGATTTGATTCGGGCTTGATTTGACTCGGATTGGACTGACTTTCATATCATTAGGTCTGTCTCATCGAACCGATCAGTTTGACTATAAGTTTGCTGAAATCGGAGCTTTGGATGACTCTTAATCAAAGTTTGAATGTTTTTTGTTCCAAAAATTGCACCGAGATTCGTGCTGGCTGATAAAAATTTGTTAGTGACATATCAATAATACTATTTTTTTATTATTTTTATTATATTAATGATAAAACCTTTAAATTTAATATATTTTGAGTATAATTTGTATCAATATTTTTTAAAACAAACCAGCTCACAAGTTAACGACTTCAGTCGGGGCTAGCTTGAGTTTGACTTGTTTGCTCATTGAGCTCAATTCACGAGCCACTTAGCGAGCCGAGCTCAAGCCGACTCACAAGTCAGGTTGGCTCACTTACACCCTTGACTCTTATCGTCATTCTGCTCGATAAGACTTTATGCGGGCCAAATTTACAGATTCCTTAATCTTCCAATTGATGCTCCAAAATAATAAATTCC